TATTTCCTGTTGGAGAAGCTAATCCTCACTTGCATCCATTATGGCAGTCTGCTGAACAGTTTGGTGCTGTGTGCACCAATCAGATAGATGATAAGGTTACCCATGTAGTTGCCAATTCTCTTGGGACTGATAAGGTATATTTCTTTCAAACATCTTTACAGGTTGCAATTTGGATATTCGATAAGTTTAAGCAATAGGTGAAATGATATATTGTAATAACTATGTGATTTGTATATATGCATACCTAATAGCCCCCCTTGGGGCTATTATCATGTATTGATGTTTCTTTAGGTGTCTGATTATATTATTTCATATATAGGTTAACTGGGCTTTTTCTACCGGGCGATTTGTTGTGCATCCTGGATGGTAAGAACCGCTTTGCTGCTTGCAGATAAGTTAAGAAAGTTTTTTCACTCATTACTTTATCAGGTCTAAAGATTGGTTGTTTCTCGATTTCAACAAAAAATTGCAGGGTGGAGGCTTCAACTTTGCTTTATCGAAGAGCAAACGAAATTGATTTTGCAATTAAACAATAAACAACCCACAATTCCTTGCACCTGACCTGACAAAATGTTCTTGATGCCTAAAACCGAGTTAGGAAAACCGGTCACATTACACTTTAACCTTGATGCATGGAGGAATGCAGGATAATCCTCTGCCAGAAACTGAATGAACCATCCATCCATCTCCTTGCTATCATTTTGTTCCCCAAAAAAAAAAAAAAGAGAAAATGCCAGTTGGAGATACTGACCTATAATAGGTGGGAAATGTGACTGATTGAGTTGGGGAAGAAGGGTTGAGATTTTTTCAGAAGCATTCTTGCCATGGCAGCACAGATGGCTGCTTGGCTTTGTTCAAAATTCAGGATTCGTTTGGCCATTAATTAAAAAGTGGCCCCATTTTTGAGTGTTGTGGAGAAAGGAAAAATCTTGTACGGGTAAATTCATTGTCAATATTCCAATTCCAGTAGAAAAATTGAGTGGAGTTAAGGTATATGTCTCAATTAAGCAAGCAAGCCATCATAATTCCGGGACTGATCTAGACTAACACAATACTTGCTATAACCACAAATCAAATGAATAAAAAATAACCATTCCTTATAAAACATAAACAAGTGAATTATTTTGTAAAATTTTAGTTATTTTTTAAAAATCATTCATATTAAATTATTAGTATGTGAGAAAGCGATGAATTTGGATTAGTGGTGATTTTTATGCTCCTTGCATATCTTCTCATTCTGATACTCCTAAGGAGAGGGGAATGTTTGTATGATTCCAAAGCTTTGCTTCGTCGTCACACATTGGATAAGGTTCTGAAGTTGACTGGTGCGGGCTGCATTATGCCAATACGCAATATCTGCATATGCCTTTTGCATGGACCATTTTTCCATATTTCACACTACACATGCTTGCCCATTCAACCCGCAAACCATTTAATATATATATATATATATATATATATATATATATATATATATATATATATATATATATATATATATATATATATATATATATATATATATATATATATATATCCTTGCACACACTATTTTAAGTATATATGCATAAATAAATGTACTACAAAGTGTTATTTTGGTGCATTTTTTAACATTATGTGGTGCAATTTGCATCGACTGCACGGGAAGGCATGTTTTCATCTGAACCAATATATGTATTTAATTATAGACTTATAGTGTTCTGTTTTTTCATTCGAAAATAAAAATTAGCTTCTGTATACTTTAGTTTTTCAAATTCAATTTTGTGTGACTACAACGTAATAACAAATTTACATTTTGGGTCATTTTTTAGATTCAATATTTTTGAATATGTTTGGTTTTAGAAATATATATATATATATATATATATATATATATATATATATATATATATATATATATATATATATATATATATATATATATATATATATAATTTTTACTTTCCAAACTAGTATATGTTAAGTTTTAATATATGGTATTTGTATGTAACATACTAAAAAATAATCCATTTTAACATATGATTTTTGGATATAACATAATTATAAAATTATAAAATATCTAAACCAATAACTTATAGGCAGGTTATCTAGGTTATCTTATAACCAGCTTGATTGGCGTGAGTGGCAGTGCACTCTCATCCTTTAAGAGAGGTCGGGAGTTCAAACTTCCTCTTGTATGGAAAAACCAATATGGCCGGCATTTTGCCCCTTAATTGGGTCGGCTCCTTTAAGAGAGGTCGGAGTTCAAATTCCCTCTCGTATGGAAAAACCAATATGGCCAGCATTTTGCCCCTTAATTGGGTCGGCCCGGTGCGAATGGGGAGTAGTATGAGTATGGTAGGGACTTAAATGCGCCTCTTACACACCTCATGGTTTGACCAAAAAAATAAAAAAAAATTTAGGTTATCTTTAACCTAACTACCTAAGTGTAAGTAATGGAATATAGCGATGATAGGTATGGACGTATGGTAATGAATGTGTGTGTGATGATATTATCTTTTTAAATGAGATTGTGTGATCAAATCATGGGCATCAATTTACAAAATTTTAATAGAAACCTATAACTACTATCTGAGGGTGTGCATTGAGTAAACACTACTCTTGTGTAATAGAAGAGGTAAACCGCATTAGGAATTCTCTATACAACGGGCTCGACCAAAAGGGTGTTGGCAGGAATTGAACTTGTGACATTTAGGTATGAGAATCGTGCTCCTTTCACTTGGGCAACTTGGGCAAATTTTACTATGGACCATGGCCTATGTAGAAGTGTGGATCATGGTATGGAACTCTGTTTTAGTTTCATTTTCTCACACATATTAGTTTCATTATAGTAACAACGAAGTATCATTTTAATTACACTGCATGTCTATGCTATCAAATTTCATTTTATTGTGAGAACAAATCGTGTGCGAACGCGAATTAAATGTGTGCAAACGCGATTAAGTGTGTTTGCACACATTTAATTCGCGTTCGCACACACTTAATCTAATCTAGACCATTACAAAATATTAGGTGGATGCACACGATTTGTTCTCATGTTCTCACCTAAGCCACAAGTGTTCTTATTGGAACCCTATATATATATATATATATATATATATATATATATAACTTTTAGATTTTAATTAAGGACAAATTAGAATATGTTATTTCTAAAAACTTTACAATAGAATAAAAAATATAACAGATAATGGAATAGGTCTTATGTTATGTTATGATTGTACTTCCACAAATAATGTGGTTTACAAAGAAATTTTTAATAATTTATAATTGCAGCGTTTTTATTATTAATTTCCAATCTTGATTATTTCATTGCTTTGTAATGTTATAGCATTTCAACACTGTTGTTCATGGTTATAAAACACTATTATTTTTTAATAACATTTCATATTAAAATATACATAATATACTTTATAAATGCTAACATTTTCTATTATTAACTTAAAAAAATTTATAGTCCGTGCATCGTACGAGTGACATTCTAGTTCTTACTAATATTATTCTATTCTAAGCGTATTATATTCCAAGTTATCAACCATTGAACTTGACAAAAATATAGCTTCTAATAGGAGATAAGTTGTAGGGAACTTCCAAGATTGTTTATCTACTATTGCAATGTTGAGGGCTCTCAAACCATCTTAATGCATGTCTTATTAACGTAACCTTGAATTGGTTTCATCCGAAGTGTAAATCTTCAATACAAACGTCAATAATGCAAATGGAAGCTAAACCTTAGTGCAAATTAAGTAGAAAAATGTCTAAAGGCCACTAGGGTTTGTAAGGATTTCCAAACTTCTTTCATTTGCTTCAGTCGTAGCTTAAATATCATGACAGAGCACAACAGAATAAATGCATGCATGTTCTGGTACCCATTTCACTTTTTTATTGCGAATTTATGCGAAGTGAAAATTTTATACCGACATAAGCGTTTTTATGTACCATCAATTTTTATATTTAATATTTGCCTCATATAATACTGTCTCATATATAAGATGATATAGTTGCCGCTATTAGGCTTGCTAGGTTATGAACCTTAGTGCTCATATGGCCAACTCAATTGATTTCTCGGTAGTAAATCATTGATAAGGACACGATCACACTGACAACAGGATTCGCGTGTAGTGTGAGAGTTTCATCCAATACGGTGGACACTGGACACTAATCCTCCTATTTAATGAGATGTTGAGTTACCTGATTATTGACCCTCGACTATCTTGTTGGACTATAGTGTGGAAGTCTCAAAAATTTTGCTTTTTGTGGGCAAGGTTGACACTATTTGCAAAAGGAATGTATGTACAACGACAGTGAATCCAGTGGAGAAAGAAATATGAATAGTTCGCATGGACAGCTCAACTAGTTGGATAGGACAATCTAACAAATATGTGATTGCAACATCTAATATTGGATCATGCATTTCACTTGTTAAACTACAAGTGAATGCCAACTAACCACCTCGATCTGAATGTCTTTTCTTATTTTATATTTTAGTATTTCACTTGAATAAGAATATTATTTATTTCTTACACTTATAAACTAGAATTTATGAGTAGCTTGGTGATATTGAATTGCCTCTATTATTATCTAAAAGAATAAGGGTTCAAACCCCAATTTCTAATTTTTACTATTAAATAATAATAAATTAGATAAATTATTAATGTTATTGCCACGTGATCTTACTATTAAATAATACGGAGTAATAAATTAGATAAATATTATCACGTGATCAGATTTAACGGAAAAAATAAAATAAACGATGTTAAAATATTGTCCTCTTTTAAATCTTAATGTAGTACACTAAATTTTAAGGAAGGAATATGAATAGCCAAGTTTTACTAGGAATAGAAGATATGGATAATCGTGTATATATTTATTATTATAATCACTCCGTGTTATACTCCTATTAGGTGTTATTTATTGCGTGTATGTATATACACACACATATATAGTGCCATTCAATTAACAAACTACTCCCACCTACGACTCCTCCTCGTATACATCTAACGACTACTACGAACCTATTGCTCTGATCTCCATGGACAATATCTCATCATCATCATTATCAGCAGCTGCTGCTTCTCAGTTTCGTCCCCATCACTCTCCCTGGCTTCACAACACCTTAGCAGGTCTCTCTCTCTCTCTTGCAAATTCAGATTTAGGGTTTTTCTTTTTCTGATCTGCAGGTTGATTATATATATTATGTTGATGAATACATATCAATTAATTAAGATTGTCGTCGTTATATACGCACGGAATACTATCCAAATCTGTTTGTTTGATCTGATCGGATGGGGGTGTTCATGCATGGCTGTATTATTTTCTCGTCCTTTTGGTCCCATGACTATAGTGGCACTATCGAAATTAATCCGTGATTTTCAAACCTTGCAATTTCAGTCCAGTCCACGACTATTGTTTTTGTTGCAAAAATGGTTCTCCTTTGTTGCAAAAATGGTTCTCCTGACTAAATTTTTCGTCAAAATCTCATCGGAGAAAAAATTCTCCATTTTAAGCAGGGATAAAATATACATTTACATTGACCTTGTAATCTTTGACCGCTGTTGACCTTTTATTTGACCAAAGTGCTAGAAAAAAAACCCCAATTGCTAGAGACGAAAAATTGGGTTTGAAAATGGCAATCGAAGATCGGTAATGGATGGCGTGTTGAAGATGACAATTGATGTTTTCTTCTTGTTCGCATATGGGTTGATTAAATGAGAGCATATTAGGGTTTGTCTTTAGCAATTGTTTTTTTTTTTTTGTTTTTTTTTGTTTTTTTTTTTTTTGCACTTTGGTCAAAATAAGAGGTCAATATCGGTTGGATATTGCAACATCAATGTAAATGTCTATTTTATCCCGGCTTGAAATGGTACTTTTTCTCCTGTGAGATTTTGTCAGAAAATTGGTCGGAAGAACCATTTTTGCAACAAAAACAATAGTCGTTGACTGAAATTGTAAGGTTGTAAGGTTTGAAAGTCACGAATTAATCCTGATAATGCCACTATCGTGGGACCAAAAGTGCAAAAAAACTCATATTCTTACCATTCAATCCATAATTAATTGATCCTAGCTAATTGTTGTTTGCCGTTTTAATTAGGGATTATTTATTAGCTATACATGTGATGTTATATTTTTTCACTAAAATTAAATCATTAATAACATGTCATTATTGGGTTTTCTTTATTAACCCTAAGTAGGGTTTGACCAACTAGTGGCATTCTTTAAGGGTGATTTTAATTTAAAAAAAAAAAACAGTATTTTTCTTAGTGATTTTATGAAATAATTAATAACTTCAATATATAATGTAGGTGTATTTTTTGTTTGAATGCTATTGACTCAATTACATTGTAGTATCTATTCATGAATTCATTTATACTTTCTCAATCTGGTGAAGCAGAGTCAACATTGAGACTCGATCTCATGACCTCCCATATAGGAGAGTCACTACATGTCATATGTGTATATATTATTATTATTAAAAAAATAAGAAAATATATGGTGGATGCATGTGCATAATAATAATAATAATAATAATAATAATAATAATAATAATAATAAAAAGTAAAGGGTATAACTTCATTCATACTTTTAACCATGCATGTTACAGTACAGTTTCTTTCATATATATATATAATCTCTAGTTATATTGATTTGGTGGATTGATATACGCAGAGGTGGATGCTAAGTTCAAGACAATCTTGAACCTGGTTGAGGACGACGGCGAAACATTCGCGAAGAGAGCCGAAATGTACTACCACAACAAACCTCAACTCCTCGACCTCGTCCGAGACCTCCACAAATCCTACCGCGTCCTAGCCGAAAACCACGACCATCTCTCAACTCATCGCCTCGTCCACAACTCCGACAAGGAATCCTCGGACTCACCCCGAATCGTTAATGACGACGAAGAAGGAGAAGAAGACTACAGCATCGTCAAGGCGGCGTCGGCGGCGGCTGATTGCGGAACCTCCCCAGACGCCGGCGATGACGATGGCGGCGCGGAGGAGGCGTTTTGGGATGGGATGAAGGTAGTGAGGGATAACGAAAGTGTTTTGGCGTCGGTTTTGAGGAAGTACGAGGAACAGCGGGCGGAGATTGGGAGGCTGAAGAAAGAGATTAGGTTTGTGAGGCGTTTGCTTGATGTGGAGAGAGCTGAGAAGCAGCAAAAGGAAAAAAGGAGTTCATTGGCCGCCATTCCAAAATTCAAGAAAGCTTTTCGCAGATTATATTGTTTTCCTCTACGAAGAATTAATTAATTAATTGCCTTGATTCATTGCTAATTAACTAAAGTCACAGGGATTATTTTTTATGTTTGGTTTAATATAATGTGTTTGGTTGAATGTTATATACTTCTAATATTTTAGAGCAAATACCAATTTTGGTCCCACGAGTATTAGCAAAATGACGATTTTGGTCCACATATTTAATTTCTACCAATTTTCATCCCACAACTATTGTTTTAGTACCAATTTTCATCCACGACTATTATTTTAGTACCAAAATTCATCACGCCGATCACCCCTCTATCCAAGACATGTCGAAATCTAAAAATTTTAAGGGCATTTTCGTCCTTTTCAACTTAAGGCTCTAATTTGAGCATGAATAAAGGGATGTAAGCCCTAAGATCAATCCCAATTGACAGTTCTCCTCCTCATCCTACTTTAATTTGAGGAGAAAAACTACGAATCACGATAGATCTTAGGGCTTAAATCTTTTTATTCATGCTCAAATTGGGATCTTAATTTTAAAAAGACGAAAATACCCTTAATAATTTCATATTTCGACATGTTTTAAACAAATGTGTGATTGGCGTGATGAATTTTGGCACTAAAACAATAGTCATAGATGAAAATTGGTACTAAAGTAATAGTCGTGGATGAAAATTGGTAGGAATTAAACATGTGGACTAAAACTGTCATTTTGCTAATACTCGTGGGACCAAAATTGGTATTTGCTCAATATTTTATATCATATAATCATATTCAAAGAAATCTTAAATAATCTAAGAAAACATATGACATTCCCTTAATTAAAATCTCATATAATTTGAATTAAAAAAAAAAAAAAAAAACCAATCCAACTTCTACTAGCCACCACTCGATCCAACCTTTTCTCCACCCAAACCCCAGTCGCACGTCCTTGCTCACAAGTGAAATGATATCCTATCATTTAGTAGGGAGAGTCCCTAAAACCTTCCAACAACCCTTTCGCATTACTCGACTCAAACGCTCTTTTTTCTCCGACGACTAAACTATAAGGTAATTGAAATCCCCCACCACCACTCAAGGTAACAGCAAGCGGTCCATTAGAGCCCAAGAAGGCCTTACCCCTCGCCCTCTTTGGCATTCTATAAAAACACGTCACTCATTCCCGGCCAAGAGGAGCAATTTCAAGATCAATATGGCCGGTTATGGAATGGGAAAACTCAGAAGACTTCCCACATTATTCTTTTTCCAAAGAAAGGCCAGCCCTGACCCCCCTTCAGTCCCACACTGTCCATAGAGAAACATTATCCATCAAAATCCAAATTGACTTGCAAACTCTTAGCATGCCCCCTTCCCACCTTTGTCTCCATCAAGAATTCAAAATCGGGCTTGTTCTTGGACACAAGGTCCATTAATTCTCGAACTGTCCGCGAATTGCCCAAGCCACGACAATTCTAGCTTAGGGTACTCATTGGGACAAGATAGTTTGAAAACAAGAGACCGTCGAGAAACTAGCTTTTGAACTATCATACATTACCACGTCACCCCTCCCCCCTTAGCTTTATCCATCACAACCCCCTCCACACCCCTGCGCCGTTTAGGCTCTACTCCAATGCCCACTTCCACCACCAGTGATCCAACCTGATCGACCTCCATTGTCATCCTCTGACTGCCCGCCACACCACCATCTAGCAACAACACAAGAGGCCTGTAACAATATCATTGACGTCCATCTTGTTGTCTAGGCAATGGCACAAGCACCAGGAAAACACAAAGGCCAGAAGTTGACGAAAATCACAGCAAAAGCTCAAGGACAAGAAAACATGCAAATAACCGTTTACACAAAGAGAAAGAGAAACACTAGAACCCTAGGGAGAGAATACATTTTTTTAAAGAAAAGATTTACCTAATAACTTATAATATATATATATATATATATATATATATATATATATATATATATATATATATATATATATACACACACACACTATCATTTGCTGTAAGAACCACTACATTGGAAGATATAAATACATTATTCAAATAAAGAGATCCGACTTAATAAAATTAATTATTGAAGAATTACGAATGTCACTCAAAATAACTCTTGAAATATTTTGTGTGTAAACTATCTACACTACAAGAAAATTGTCCATTAGTGAGAGGTAAAACCGTCACTAAAAAAATCAAAAACCATCATAAAAGGCTTTTAATGACGTGAAATTTACCGTCACCACCTGTCGTTATTTCTTCTGAAGTTAAAAACAAATAGTGACGAGATATGATACCATCATTAATAAGCATATAGTGATAGTATATTTACCGTCACTAAAACGTTCTTTTTGTGACAAAAAATCATGTCACTAATACAACTACTAACTAGCATAATTTCCTCTCATTATATTCTTGTAATGACGAGAATCCTATCATTAATATTACTATTTACTAACAAATAGTAAGAACTAGAGATTAGGTATTTGGGGGGAGGGGGGGGCGGGTGGTGGGGCTCGGGGTTTGAAATTTAATTCTTAATTATTAAAGGATTTAAGTTTTATAAATTTTAATATTATATATATATATATATATATATATATATATATATATATATATATATATATATATATATATATATATATAGCTCGCGAGTGGCTCGAGTCTAGAATATTTGAGCTCAAGCTCGGCTCGTTTATTAAACGAGTCGCTCGATTTCGATCGAGCTCGAGTCGAGCTTTGATCAAGCCGTTCAAGAGCGGTTCGACTCATTTACACTCCTAATGGCGACCTTGTGCGAAGAGTGACGGTAATGGAGCGTGACTGGCAACCTTGCCTTGCTGTGCGAAGATCGGCGGCGACGGAGGGTGACCGGCGACCTTCCTCTGTTCCAATGGAGAACGGGGCAACAAAAAACTGGCGAAGGAGGGCGCGTCAGTGACGATGGAAGTGATTGGTTAGAGACGATGGAAGAAGTCCTAATTTTGCTTAAGTATTTGGAGACTATTGCATAATAGAGATGATGGAAGCGGGAAAATTTTGCTAAGTATTTGGTGGGAATTAGATTTTAGTGAAATGATTTTCAAACATCAATAGCGAGAGTAACAACATCTTTTGTATCAATAGCGAGATTATGTTTTTAAAATAAGTATAAAATTAAAATTTCGTCACTAAATCATAAACTTTTAGTTAGAGTAATTTTCAACCCTCACAAAAACTATGCAAATAATACATTTAGTGAGAGGTTTTTCTACCCGTCACTAATTTTTGTCACTAAAAATTGTTTTTCTTGTAGTGCTATTTACCTTATCAATTTGAGATGATCAATAATGGAGAATCTATTAAATTGATTTACCTTATTATGTTCTAAGGTTACAAGAAATATTTTTACTCATAGCGCATACTCAGATAGACTACGAACATTTTCTGTAAAAAAAATCATATTAATATTTACTCTAGATTTATGTAATACTCCTGCTCCTCAAAATATTGAATCCCAAACTGTAAGGGCCCCCACCTCTCGGCCTGACAGAACATTGAGAGTTGTAAATCATGATAACTCAGCTGTCCCTCACTTTGAGAGTTGTAAATCATTAATGTTTACTCTAGATTTATGTAATACGTAGTACTAAATATATTAAAAGTTGGGTGTTAACTTTAATGAATAATAATTTTGACTTTAGTAGGTTCATACTTCATAGTTCATAGTCTAGATTTGTGTAATACTTGGCTACTTGCATCCACACGGGTCACGGCCGCACCGCAACGAGAAACACCAAGCGCTATTCCGGGAGCGTGAGGCTCCGCCGCTTCTCCGGCACCAACTACAAACACACAAATATCCTTCTCCGTAAATCTCTCAGGGAGAGCAACTCTCTCAAATCTAGGCGTCTCCCCGAAAATTTCGTCTGAATTTCAGCACGCATTTCTCTGTTTTCAGTAATTTTTTTTGCAGTAACATTACTGGTTTAACAATGGAGGCCAGGAGAACCGACAGTCCGGTGTACGCGCGCCATTGGAGCAGCGAATCCGGAGTTCTCAATCCACCGGCCGCCGCGTCCTCCGCGCCGCGTCCGCACCATGGTCGCTCCTCCTCCGTTTCCGGTATGTCCAGCATTAAGCGCACTCAGAATGTCGCCGCCAAAGCTGCTGCTCAGCGGCTTGCTCAGGTCATGGCCTCCCAAGCCGCCGCCGGCAATGACGAAGACGAGGACGAAGATAATGATGATCTCGGGTTCCGATTCGCTCCTCCTCCTCTGCCTCTGTCCAGAACTGCCTCCGGCCCACCCAACACCAGTAACAATAAAATTAACGGTAATGCTGCCAAGGCATCTGCTTCGTCCAGTAAGATCAGTAGCAGATCCTCTTCTCCTTCGGTAATTTCGTGGACTAGATCTCAATTTTTCCTGTAAATGTTGAAAGCTTATGTCGGTTGCAAATTTGCTATTAGACATGTTAGGCAATAGTTATGTTTAATTATGACGAATATGCCATCCTTTAATTTATAAAAAGAAATTTTAAAAATGGTAAGCCGTTTTAGTGTAATCAGTTACTCAATTGAGTTAATAATGGGTTTGATTAGAGTTAATTCACGAAACAATGTACATATTTTAGTTTTGTGCTATATGTAGTGATATGTTGGACCTTTGGCCATGGTTTTTACTTTTTAGCATAATATAAGTATATAGAAGGATTTAGATAGAGTTGACATGAGTGGAACAGCTGAAATAGTTGTTCTTGAAGTTCATAAGTTTGATCATTAATAGTTATGATCTCCTCTAACAAGGACTTACTGCCCTCAGTTTCACATGTCTCACCTCTTTATTTCAAATATGAAGCTCTTGTTCTTGCAATTGAAAGTACAATGAGATTATAGTTGAACAATAAGTTTCAAATTAGCAAAAGTCTTTTCCAATTTTACTTGCAGAGTTGTTATCAGTATGGTACCTCTAGATGCTAATTATTTACTTTCTTGCTATTTTAATTAGCTAGCTCAGAATATGGTGGAAGAAACTCCATCTCATCGGTCAACATCAGCTGGGAGGTCTTTAACGTCAACTCGTCCTGCACCAGCAGTACCAACTAGCCGTTCGTCACTGAAGACTCCAATACCCATACCACAAATTGATCCTCCTACCAACAAACCACA